GTTTCGTTGCCGGTTCTGCTACATGCACGCTCCTTCTCTGACGTGCCTGAGCATGTCCACATCAGAGATAGTGTCGGATCTACCTGAGAGTGAGCTGCCAGCGCGTTGTCAGAGAATACCCACCAGGCAGGGATACTGGGGCTTCATCAACTGGCAGTGAAGAAACACCACAGGATTATAACGATGGGGTTCTACGGCACTTTAAAGATGATTTTTTATAAAGTGAGTAGTGTTTCTGTGTCTTGTCGTTTTTGAGTGTAACCTGCTTGCTCTTATTTTTCCGGTTTCTTCGTGCTGGTAGTTGGCAATTTGCAGCCACTCGTATATTATTCCTCTACTTTAAACCGTTTTTGACGTGTTTACTTCACTGCCCGAGAATTGAATGACGGCAAATATTAATTTTAATGGCAGACGTGGCGCGCTACCTTATACTCTTACCGCAGGAGAAACAAAATGAAAAACGCCGTTTAAATTTGAATCGTATCGTAAAATGCTTTCTTTATATGCGTATATTCACAAGTTTGCTTTGCTTAGGATTCGTTTATCGTACCCGGTATTGTAAAGAACGCTGCTAGGCTCTAGGTAATTGAATCCTGTAAATCAAAGGTATTGATTGATGCTAAAACACCTTCGCAAAAAAACATTTTTTTTCTCCTATCAGATACTTAAGCTGTAAACCTGTAGTGCATTTTCCTACAGCTTTATTGAGATCTGTAATTTTCTCAGCACTTCGTGAGAGCAACGATAAAAGGCTTTTAGTCCAAATCCCCGGTTAAACGTACTGAATGCAACTGCACCTGCAAGGCATATGAAGTAAAGTGCGCAGCGTCCCATTCTACACGGTAGTCTTGTAAGCTTAAATGCCTGGACTCCGACCTTTTGGAAGATTTCGAACAATTTATATGTTTAACGTGAATTTAACACACCTTTACAAAGTGGGAAAACGACCGTGAGCCGCTGCACATTTGTATTCCATGGTTATACGATGTGTACAGTACCAGTCAATCAAAGCTACCTGACAGCTTCAAGCCTGCTGTGTAGATGTGATTGTGATATTTATGTATTCATTAGGTACAATGCTTTCTTCCTGGATTTGATTGATTGTGGTTTTGCCGCTGATGTTTGTCCGTGTTTATCTGTAGGCATCAGTTAAATAATGTTAGGTAGAGAGTATATTGTGTGTAGAGTGTGTGCCGGTATCGAGAAGTACTTTAATTCCAGTCCTTTTCATTCTATACGATTACTTTAAAGAAGACTGCCGCACCTGCTACATTTGGAAAAACTGATTATATAGCTTCAGTGTTTTTTTTAAAGTATGAAACTGCTCAGGTCCACCGCCTAAGCAAACCCATTTAGAGACTCGTCCCCTTCGCCGCCCCATGAAGATCTGCCAAATGGACAGTCTTGCAAATGTCTATTTCTAAATGCACAAGGACAACCGTGTATGAATCCTGTGAAGATATGGCATCTACCCTCTTAATAGTTCCAATATCATTTAAAAGTTTGTAGGGACTTTTAAGCAACAACAAATTAAACAGACCTCTTCAAGACTGTCTCATTGATGGAACCTGAGGAAGAATTTAATGGACTTAATATCCAAGTAAAAAGATTAAAGGCTTTTGCTGCATCTAGCGTGAGCACACTGTAAAATTTTAATGCAGCTGTGACACTGACAAATGTTCCACACATTCAGGTTAATCATTTGGTTCTAAAGAAGTGAAACCTATAAAACTGCTCAGCCATCTTCTGTGAATGCAGGAACCAGGAACGAGAGGTAGTTAACAGCACTGGGCTCCCCGCCCTTCGCTACTTCTCAGTGTTAATGTAGTTTTTGCACGTCCATGACCAAAATACGTTTCCGAGACTGCAGCTGTTAGTAATTATGTTTATCTTATTATGTAAACAAATTGGATGATCACTTACAATTCATTAGCAGAGCCCCATATTCAAGAAACAAAACTGAGCAGTTGAAACAGGTATCCTTTTCAGACGAAAGTAGTACCATTGAGAGAACGTGGCTCTTAAAAGCCTGTAGTTTAAGGCTTCAGTAAAAAAAATCTTTTGATTCAGGCAGTCCAGCCCCACCTTGTAAAACCCAGGTGACTTTAATGCCATTCATGTTAAATGTACACACACGTTTAATTACACATATACGTGCCCTCTGTTTTTACTTCTGTACTTCAGAAGGCAGCAGAGAACCTTTCATTGTCAGAGTATGATTAAACCTTTAACTGCGTCTGACCAAGCATGCTCTGAAGGCATTAGTTAACTGCTATTTTCTGTACTGTAGCGCACAGACTAAATGATAACCTGAAGGAAAAATGTAAACCTCTTTGTTTTAGAATTGATAAGAGGCTTAAACACAAGTCATCATTAACACATAGATTAAAGGCTGCTTTTCTTTTCATTCTTGGCATATTTTTCTCAGACGAATAGGCTTAACCCTTTCCCTGATGTCTGAAGGTCTTGTTTGTGTCATTACAGGACCTGCATCACATTGAGGTTTTACACATGCCAACAAGAGAAAAAAACTAATATTTATTTTTGCTTGTTTTTATGCTATTGCTTATGCTGGCGGTACTATGCTTGCTAGAAGACCTTGATTAAAGTGCTTTCTTAGACCTTGTTTAAGCCTATGTTTTTGCCATTTTAAACTTATTGCAGTGGATAATGTTGCTTATGTCTGGTAAAAAAAAAAGGAAATATTTTACTGAATATACATTTGTATACTGTAATTTGAGATCTCCAGTAATAGTTGCTTTCCTCTCTGTAGATCAGGATCTTTGGCTTCCATTATCTGATGCAAACGGAAGTTGTGCGTGTATATATATTTTTTCCTAGTACAAATCCAACACATAGCTGGTCTTTGTTCAGTAAATGAAGAAAGAGGGCTGACTGATTTGTGACCCCAATGACAAACAGACCAGATTGGTTCTGATAGTGCTTCTTTCACTTGTGGCACTCTCCTGATGTGCTCCCTGCCTCAGTGCCTCTCCCTGCCTTTGAAATTCCCTGACTGGATCCTGGTTCGACCCCTCTGCATTCCAGCCCGCTCCCTCCCATCCGAGTGGGAAGTTGCAGGGGGCCCCACAAGCATACGGTGACAGATTAGGAAAGGTTTACAAACATTGCTGTTTCCCCTTGTCTTAGGTTACCTTTTCCCAGGCCGAAATGTGAGAAACTGGGTAAACCCAAGGTTCCCAGTGGCTTAAGTCAAGGTCTGTCTTCTGGTCTCTCCCTCTCCCTGAAGCTTGAACTGCCATTGCAGTGAGATCATTTCTTTGGGAACAGGGATGAGTTTGTGAGGATGGATCCTGACCAATAAAACCGCTGTTTGAAACAGAAACCACTTCCTTAATTGGAGACGACATTTTGAAGAAAAACAACAAAAAAATCTTTTGAAATATTGAAAACAGTCGTGTTTCTCATTGATTTATCCTTTTTTTTCTTGCATTCAGCCCCATGCTCCCTGATGTTGAACAAAAAAGTGTTGTGTGAATGTGGTTTTCATTATAAAATATCCACAAGCTCTTATTTAGTTGGAAACATCTAAATCTTGGTAATTTTGTATATGCCATTCGTGGTCCATCGGCAATCACTATTAAAAAACTAAATCCCTAAGAAATAAGTGATTCTTAAGAAAGGAATGCAAAAATCTTGTATTTTTAGGTCCCAGAATTTGGTTGCATCTTTTGTAATTAGTTGTTTGCTTGAGGTTGTATTGTATATTATTTCATTCTAAACCTGTTTCTAGTGCCCTGTGGAGATGGGATAAATAGATTAATCCACCCACTTTCTGTGATCCAATCAAGGAAATGAAATGGTTTTTCATCTCTGTAGTACAAGTATATGCAATCCATCCTCTTACTGAGAATATATCTCAGGAGTTTAGTTTGCACTGTTGTGTAGTTGGACAGCATGCCTATTGTTTCTTTTTTTCTCATTTGTGTTGTTTCAAGGCCACACTGTGTGCAGAAGCAGGAGTGTTTAGTTGAATGCAAGAGAGAAGAAAGAGGAGCTGATAAAAAGGGAATGGGGTTGTTTTGTTTTCCATCTCAGGCGGCATTATAAATCAAGACAATGTGTCATGATAGGGAAGCAGTTCACAGCCCGATGGGAACCAGCAGATCGAAGCTACTGTGTTTCTCGCGCCCTTTGTGAGTCTTTCCACCACAAACCGCCAGTGTAAAACACATCCATTTTATACAGCACCCCTAAAGAAAACAAGGTTTCTGTTTTGACCTTCTCTCTCAGAAATGCAACTGATTTAGGAGCATTGGAGTAGTGGAGGACAACCGTAACTTCAAATCGAAAAGCACCCTATCCACTCTGGGTCAGACATTGGTTTAATTTAAAAAGCATATGAGCCAATTCAACTAGTTACTCATCCCTGTTTGAGATCTTTGAAAAATAATCTCGAATAACCCTTAGAATAACCTGTTTTCAAGGTTCATTATGTTTAGTATTTTTCCTGCTTGTCCAACATATAGCTTTAAGTAAAAAGTCAAAATCCTTCTTCTTCCTGAACGAAATAATACAAGGATCTCAAAAGTAGACTTCAGAAAATAAAATGGTTTAAGTTAAGGTTCTGTATTTTGTGACCCCCTTTTTGCTATGTTTGTTTTTTTTTACAAATTGCTTTTTTTGTGGGGGAATCTCAAGATGTCTCTGGTTTTTGCAGCTATAAACATGTAACATCTGCTTTAGTGCATATATTTAGGGTTTGTTCAGTTTGCAAAATCCCACTACTAAGTACAAGGCAACCTGCAGCTGAAACTCCCAGGACCTTGTCATTCACCTTAAGTGGTACAGTATAAAGCAGGTTTCGGGCCTTGTCATTATTTGCTTAATGAAGAGGTGGAATGTTTGCAGGCTGAGCTCCGTGTTATTTTTGTGCTTCTGTGGTTGATTGTAAATCTCCCGACAGTTTCTGTGGTGGTACGTTCTGTTCATTTTTGTCTAACCCCTGCCCTGTTTTTCTTCTCTCCTTTGTCTTGCAGATGAAGAGAAAGTTGGACCACGGCCCCGAGGTCCGATCTTTCCCTTCAGGAAAAAAGCCCTGCAAGGGCTCCGAGTACCCAAGGTAAAAGACCGAGCCCTGGCCCTAGGGCAGTGATCTCAGAACGCCAGATGTTTTAAATCTGAACACTGGAGCTGTTTTATAGGCTTTTCCGCCCAACCCTTAAGGTGTTTATTGCTGCCTGATTTTTCTTAAAAGGGTCCTGCAGGTGATGTAGGAGTGGGTCAGGATATTTAGAGATAATATCTTTGTCCCCAGTACTTGAGCTTACTGGACTGCTGATATGACCTGCTTCCCATCTGGGCACAGGAGAGTACAAGAGAGAACTGTGTGAAAACCAGTCATCCTCTGTGTATTCTATAATGAACAAAAACATATGGCACCCATGTGGTCTTTCAAAAAATGCATACCTCTGTATTTTGTACTTTTCGTGTACAAAGAGCATATTAGGACAAATAAAATCAGTAAATGTAAATTTAGCATCACCTCATAGTCATGATTTTTTAGTTGTAATAAGCTGCTCTGATTTATTCATTATGGACAGCAGTGGGTATCCTGTATACATTAAAGAATACATGGCTAACAAGGTGCTGTGCATGATTCCCAGTTGAAAGAGAGGGTGTATCTGCATCTTGCATTCATCTCACATCTGTTAGCAGTGCAGCTGAATATCTTTATCTCTGAACTGTGCATAGGCACCAAAGGTTATATTTAAAAACAATGGAATAACCATCACGAGGCAGACAGGTTGTCACTGTGCTAGCAAGCTTAGTGGTTGTTTGGTATGTGAAGAAGAAAGGGCCTTCTGTTTCAGGTTTTGGCGCTCGCGTGGGTGTTAGCAGCGGAGGCACTTTGCAGCGAGCTCTGCACTGCGCGAATCTGTGGCATAGAAATTGGACAAATTTTTCCAAATTGTTATTCATCAGCACAGGCCAGAGGGTTGAGTGAGGCGCCACCGGTGACGTGGCCAAGTCTGTCAGCAGACTTTCCGAGTATCTCGAAGGTATTACATGGCTATCGCCTTCCAGCCTGATTTTTAAAAAGTCATACTGTTGCAGTGATATTCCACTCGCCAAGCATGTCTTCAGCAAAATGACAGCACAGACAGGGAAGGGGTGGGTCAGGTTTTACTGTAATAAATGTGAAAATTGCGCTCATGGATAGTCAGACTGGTATGCTTTTTTGGAAATGAATCCACTTACAGTACATTGTGAGCCACTCCTAATTTGTTGCTGTGTGTGTTTTCCATTAGATGGGTTTCCAAGTCGTGTGTGATACTGTATATGCCGGTCTGCTTTAGTGTAATATGGAGCAGTGTTAAAAACAGGACTTCACAGTGAATGTACAAATGGCCCTCCGCAAACCATCCTTTTCTCTCTTTGCAGCTTTTCTCTGTGCTAATTTTTGTAAGACAGTCTCTACAGTTTTTCCACTACAGATAGCCCATTTTAAAATCAGCACCAATTCATTCTTCGAATTGTAAGATCTTAATGTTGCAGAGGAAATACTATTTATAGAATTATATCTGAGGTACATGATTTATATCGTTATTTAATTCTTGCTTTTTTCCACTTTGCTGTTCTTGGCAGTGCTGAGTGTTTTATACCAATAATACCTCAGTCTTCAAGACAGCTGCCTTATTGGCAGCGCTTTATTGTAATTGCTGTACCTTGGCTCAGCACTACTTTAAATCCTATTAAAAATTCATCTATTATTATGAAGCGGTCTTCACTCTTAGCTCACGAAAATGTTTGACTCTCGGGGATGCTTTCACCTTGCAGGGGTGCTGAATTGTGTCTTTTGGACATTTTTGCATTATTAGGGTTGAGTGTTAGATGAACTCCTGTGTAGCCAGTGGTCTGACTCCTGGGAAGGAGACTTGACATTCGGTTTAACGTGATCTTTGTGCTCTTTGAAAAGTCCTTGCCCAAGACCTGTCCTGATCTTTCTGCGTTAAAACTTTTCTATGTCTTTTAGGTGTTTACAAAACTACTATCTTTTAAAATAGGCTTTAAAAGTCACATTGTCTGTGGGAGATCCAGAAACAATATGTTTACCTCATTAATAATATTGCATGGCTCCTCGTGTGCTAGAAAAGCTACCTTATGGTTCTCTCATAATCTGTGCAGACATTTCTGGGGAAGCACCTCCCATCAGCCTCACAGGAGCATTTTGTTTTGATATCGCCAGAGAAAATTCCTTTTAAATGTCTTCTTTCTTTTGTTGTTAAGCACTAATAATAATCAGCAGAGCAATCCAGGTATGTAGGAAGATAAACATAACCTTTGAATATTGCCATATCTTTTTTTTTCTTTCTCGCCGTGCCTGAAGTCGCTAGGATGAGAAGCTAACCTGCGTCTTTATTTGGGAAGTGAGTTTTTTGGGGGGAAAAAGAGGAAGGAGGTCACAGCTGAAAGCCTTGTCTGTGTTTTCCCGTAGCCCTACAGGGCTTGTTCCGTACCCAGCCACACCCACCACGTTCGGGGACTTGAGGGCAGCCAACGGACAGGGGCAGCAGCGGCGCCGGATTACATCCATCCAGCCCCCCACCGGCCTGCAGGAATGGCTCAGGACGTTTCAGGTGAGTCAGCCAGCAGCCTGGAAAATCACTCAGTTCAGCTTGGGAAGAGGCTCCCAAACTCCTGGAGCTAGCTTCTTTGCACCTGCATTCTGGCCTCTTCATCCACATCTGGGCAGTTTTTGTTCTTTGTTTTTTTTTATTAATTCATGTATTGCAGGTGCATGTAGATTCAAACTGCACACCACAGCGTGTCTTTTTTTCCTCTTTGTGAGAACCCAAAGTTTATCAACACTTCACAGATTTTCTATTTAATCAGTGTTCCCTAAGACTGGTGATAATTGCAGGTTTGTTACAAGCCCTTCCTTATTATTATGTTTATGCATGGAAGGAGCTGCTCTGACAGTCGATGTAAAATTAGGTGATTCTGGAATACAGTTTGTATCCAGGTTGATCTCCTATCATGCTTTGCAGGAGGAGTTGTAATGTCTGTCCACAAGAGTGTTTATTGATTTCTGTTTCATAATCTGCTGAAGCCTCCGGTATTTCAGGAAGTACAGGTTGCTGCAGGATGTTTGTATATGGTGTGTCCTAAGTGCTTGCTAGTCTGGAAGAGTTAATGACAGCTCTATGTAATCCACACCCATTGTAGTTTTGTTACCTTACTATTAGCAGGCCCAAAGGCTCTAGCTAGACACTAGTAGTAGCAGGTTTTGTCTTGTTTAACCAACATTAGTATTACCTGGGGTGTTTTGCTTCAGCTCAGAGCATTTTAATGTTCGTTTACAGTTTTGCATATTGGACTGATTTCTTAAACATTTTTTTGCCACTTCTTTTTCATCAGTTTCATTCATTTGTAATATAAACGGGGGTTGCCAATATTTATATTGAACACTGTATTTGTCAGGGTTTTTGTTAGAACACAAAAGGAACAAGGGGTGGAATTAATTCTTCAAGTCTTTTCATTCTTTTTTCTTACAAAACAATTGGATTCAGGTGAAGACTGTCACTCTCAGACAAGTGAGAGTAAAACTCTATTGTGGATTGTGGTGTCTTTTATTGTCAGGACCAGATCTGTTGTCGTCCATAGCTTGACAAAGTCATTTAAGGTTCAGTGAATGAGTTTCATCCAGGTGCTGTAAATCATTGCACATTGTTTTGTGAAGGGGGGCTTTTATTGTGCACTTGCTTCAATTCTGTGCCATTCTTTAACAGGCAGCTCTTAAAGCAGTAATTATGCCTATCCATGCTCACCCCTGGCCTCAAAGTAATAGTGTCTTCTCCTTGCATATCCTCTTTTAGGGAGAATGGATTTAATCCATTTCTTTAATGACAAAGCCCAGGAATCTATTTTAGCCGGCCATTAACAATTGCTGGGCATTGCTAGCTGAGGTAGAATTGTTTACATGTTTGCTTTTTGGCACTGGTTTCTCGCTAATGACATCAGCTTCCCAAAGCCATGCCTGCTGCCTGGTGTGTAAAAGGAGAAATGGCATTATTTGATGTCAGTAAAGTAAAACATGAAGGCAACTGCATGACAAATTACAACATTGAAAACTGTTGTTTTTATTTTTGGTCCACAGTGTGTTCTCGCCGCATTCACAGCCTTTTTTATTTATTATACAGCATAAAAAATACCTTTGTGTATCATTGCCAAGTCATGCTGTAAGAGTAATAACTTCCACCTCTCTCCATTTTATCAGCCCATCCACAGGGAATGAGGCATCCTTTCAGAATTTAAGATTAATTTAAATCTTCTAGTCCAAGCCCATGCATCTCTCCTTTTAGGCATTGCATTGAACACTGAGATTTGAAGTAGGAGGGGAAGGTCCAAATCCCTAAAAGTAAAAAAAAAAACACAAGGGAAAAGATGAAAGCATTATTTTATTCTCTTTATTTAAATGCAAAGGTTGATCGCTATTCCAAGAAGATGGCTGTACATTCCAGGGGACTCTCTGGGGCTTTCTGATGAGAGTTTTAAAGACTCTTTATGTTCATGGGCAATTAACTTGAATGCAATCCAAAGTGCAGTATCTGAAAAATCTAGGCTGCATGTTTAGAGCTCCAGTTGCTTTGAACTCTTCTGCTGATTTTCTAGTCAGCTAAAGAACAACACAGCAAATTGGAGGTGTTGTCTTACAAAATACATAACCTGTTTTCACTCACATTCTTAAAATGTTGAAATATAACGGAACACACATTGGCTTTAAAAAGCTTTAGACTTAAGTCAAGGAGATTGGATGCTTTGTAGATTGTAAGGAATTGTCTTTCTGCCCACAAAAGAGATAATTGGGTGACCCTTTCTGATTTTTATTAAAAGTTTGCTATCATGTCAGACAAACATTTTGCATGTCCCTTTTCACAAACACACTGAATGCATAAGCATGGCTAGACATTAGTCTGCCGCCTCCTGCTGTGTTAAAGGCATTCCCTTCTTTGTCCTGCAGAGCTGGAGTGGACCAGAGAAGCTGCTCGCATTGGACGAGCTCATAGACAGCTGCGAGCCGACGCAGGTCAAGCACATGATGCAAGTGATCGAGCCGCAGTTCCAGCGAGATTTCATCTCCCTTCTGCCCAAAGAGGTGAGGGCTACGCTGTCATTGCTGCAGAAGTGTCTGCTCTTGGCAATCCTTAGCACATTTTCTTTTTGATTTTACCCCCTCCTCTTACAGTAGCTCTGCTTTGAGTGTCCACATCAGAGATGAATGTACAGTTAATCATTGCAAAACAGTCCCGGTGCACCTTGAGTGGGGGAAATAAAAGTGTGCAGTTGGGATGGAATTAAACAAAATATTCATAGATTTGTTTTTGTTAAATAACTTTAAATTTTGAATGTATGTGTGTATAAACTGAAGGCGGTTTGAACCTGACTTGTCTTTTGGAAGTGTTGAGATGTGCTTATTGTCACACAGCTGTCTTCTGGGCTATTGATGTCCCTCTTCACCACAGCATGCAAGCACAATCTTCAGCAGGTGTTAAAATATGGATTGGTATTTCAGTAATAGCATGTATGCATTATTTTTGCATAGTTGATTTCTTTCTCTTGACTGTTATAACAGTGGTATAGTTATTTAGCATAAAGATAAAAAGATTTTACAAACACTTCTGTGGTGACATTTTCCGTATGACTGAATAGCTAATCCAGTTCTTTCTTTCATATATACTGTACCTGACAATGTTAATGCAACACGGAAGATGTTATTAATAATGTAGCACTTTAGGGCTCACGTGGGTATGCACCCAACACTGCTTGTCTTTTGGAAGTGTTGAGATGTGCTTATTGTCACACAGCTGTCTTCTGGGCTATTGATGGTGGATCGAACCCGGGCCTCCAGCATCACTTAACAGGGAACCAGCAGCTACCCACATGAACTGCTGTTCCTGACTGCTACCTGTATAATGCTATAATCTCCCTTCATCATCACAGACGTACACTGTTACCTAAGCAGTAAAGAGTCAATGAAAGGCTGATAGAATACTGCAGTATTAGTAGTCTTCTACACAATGTCTGGACCTGTCTTCGTGTATAGAAGCTAACGACTACCACGTCTCCCTCTGTGTCTTTCAGCTGGCCCTCTACGTGCTCTCGTTCCTGGAACCCAAGGACCTGCTGCAGGCAGCGCAGACCTGCCGCTACTGGCGAATCCTGGCCGAGGACAACCTGCTGTGGAGGGAGAAATGCAGGGAGGAAGGTGAGGGCTGCAAGCCAGATACACAGCCCTGTGCCATGAATGCCAAGAGAGGTTTAAGGGAGTGAGGAAAGGATTTGCACTAATCAAACGCCAATTAACCATGGGTTTACAACTGGTGCCTCTGCAGCTGTGATCAACGTGTAGGCGTTGGTTTCTCAATAGTGTTGGCTCATGATACTTTGAGAGCAAGCTCTTATGCTGCCCAGTTTATTTTCCTCCATAATGCCATTTGTGAGTGACATTAAATAACCATCCAGTTGTGGCTTTACTCCTAGAGTAGCAGTGGGTAGCACCGGGAGGCAAAAGAGCTGGAAAAGTTTGAAAATCCCTCGTCAATCAGTTTAGAAATGAGGAATGGCATTTTTTTAAATAGGCATCCTTTAGTCTAGCCATTTTTGTTCACCCTGTTTTTCATAGTACTTTAAAAAGAATTAAAAATAATTACTTCAGGTTCTGTGTTTTCTGTTGGGTTTTTTAAAGGTTTACAAACCTATATACTGTATAGGCAAGAACATTTTAGGTCAAAGTGTTAATGAGTGATTTTGCAGCATTAAGAAAGCAGTGATCCCTAAAAAACATTGTTCATTTTGCATATACTGAAATGCAAACTTTGTATACAAATTAATGAAACTAGATAAAAGCAGGCTGAAAGTGTGTCAACAGGAAAATAAATTTAAAACATATCAATGGATTTAAATGTGAAGACATGGCTAATTTTGTTGTTTGCCAGAGCATGTAAAAACATTTTTTGGTTCATAGGTATTGACGAACCCCTGCATGTCAAGAGGAGGAAAGTGATCAAACCGGGCTTCACACACAGTCCCTGGAAAAGCGCATACATCAGGCAGCACAGAATAGACACGAACTGGAGAAGAGGGGAACTGAAGTCACCCAAGGCATGCATCTTCCTTTCTAGCTGAAATCCCCTAATATGTTTTATGTGCAGGCGGATCCCTGGCAGCTTGGATTAGAGCATCACGCATCTTGGAGATAGAAAACCCCCTCAGAGTAAATTATCCCTTTCACCGTCAAGTTGATTGAAAGAGCCAAGCTGTTCCAGTGTTCACTGAACTCTGGATCCTGATCAATCAAGGACAGTGATTAAAATGTGCCTTCTAATTTGTGGGGTCCTGCTGTTCAGTTTTTTTTGTACCCACTTTTGAAGATGCCTAAACTTATGCTATGTCATCTCTTGTTATTTTCTTTTCTTGATAAATGAACTGCGCAGGACCAGCAACTTAATTCTCTAAGCCTATTAACTGGTTCCAGTTATTCAAAAAATGCCCGCAAGCTCTTATAGACTGTCAGTTGTGTAACAAGTCTCTATATTCTTAACACCATTCAGTCACACAGTGTTTAAAAATAGTTTGTCATTTAATGGATCACAGCTTTCATGATCAAATATTTTGGAAGCAAACGTCTATGACTATTAGTTTAAAGTTTGCCAGCATAAGGTTGTTCCATAACATTTCTGTTTAGGATTGCAAATGTGTATGTAGGGGCCTTGTTTTAAAGTCGCTAATAGTTGACACCCGTTCTTATACCACTTTTTCTGTTCCTTCTCAGGTGCTTAAAGGTCATGATGATCATGTGATCACTTGCCTTCAGTTCTGTGGCAATCGAATTGTTAGTGGTTCAGATGACAACACGCTTAAGGTCTGGTCAGCAGTCACAGGAAAGGTGGGTTGTTATAGGAGCTACAGATTTTTTTCCTTTTGTAAATCCCCTTTTCCCTGTCAAGGCAAAGGATTAACTTCTATTTTTCTTCCCAAGTAACCACCAGATCGACTCTGAGACGCTCTGCTGTGAGTAGAGGAAAGCTGCATGTATTTGCTCCATTCCTGTATTTCAGTTTGTTTTACCTTCTCAACCTTAACTCTTCTTGATTTAATTTCAGTATGAAAATAGCAATTGATGCTGCTAAATGACCACACCTCCACAAAAAGAATAATATTTTGTAAGTTTAGTTTTGATGATGTGGTGGTGGACACCCAAGACTGTGAAATTTTCTGGCTGTGATTAATGTGGTTTATCTGTCAGTTCAGCGTGTTTACAGGAATTTTGTATGTTGTTGCAGAGATGGTTATAACTTTTGGCCTATTATCTTTCATAAAGAAAAGATGATTTGGAGACACCATTTAAACTAGACAGCTTGTGTTTTGGTGGTGATGGGAAACCTACACAGGAGGCACCCTAAGCCTTCCAAGCAGTGGAGCTGACCCCAGGGGCAGCAGAGCTCACTGCTATACCACTGTTGTGCCAGAGTTAAAACATCTTTTAATTTTCTTTTTAATTTTTTCTTAATTGTGACTATAATGATACATTGTGTGGTCTTCAGAAATTAATGGCTTTATATAAATGTTGTGATAATTCAGCAAATCATTACCTTCATCTTGGCATCCCGTCCTGTATTTTTCTAAGCTTTTTAAGGATTAGTGTCTTGAGCTAATTCTGTGACAAGAGCCTCGTGTGTATGTTTTATGGCAGCTCTTAAAAGTGGCTTTTGATCCCTGGTTTTTGAATGAGATTGCAGATTCTGTTGTAAATCAATACTGTTTCTCTAAGAATCCTGTAAGTCCATTTACCCGTAGTCTCTAATGAAAGTTGACGTTTTTCTACACCAAAGAAATGCAGGAACTCTCAAATCTGTCTTGCAAGATGTTAACACATGAGTTTTTATACCTATTTATTCAATTACTGTCCCTTCCTCTTGCCATGGTATTTGTGTTGATGAGGCTTTATAAGCATAAATAGGCACCACTGAGTCCTCGGTAGAGCGTTTCCAAAGAAACTAACAAAGGGGAAGATATTGTTTCCTCACTAATACATACTGTAAATGTAAATACAGAAATTTGTGCAGAGGAAATGCATGCGATGTTGTCAGTGTTGTGAACACTAGAGAGGTTAAAAGTCGAGCAGTTTTTCTCTTTACTGTTTTGTGACAAATTTCAGATGTGACATAATGCTGCAGGAGGTCCCTGTATTCTCTTCCATGGACTCTAACAGTTCTTTTTTCAAATCAAACACCTTGAATAATCACAACCTACATTCTAGCGTTTGCACTTCTGAAACTGTAGCATTCAACAAACATAGCATATGCAGCTGGTCCTAGTCCTCTACTTGTGAGCAAATGTTAACAGTGTTACTTGAGTGCTAAAAGCAATTTTGTGAAGAAAGTCAAAAAGAAAAATGTTCGTTTATTGCATAACGTCCTGTTTGTTCTGAACACCATTCGTGAAGAACAGAAACAGGCCAGTAGAGTGTAGGAAAGCTCCCAGCTTTATAACAGCCTCATTTTTTCCCACTGAATGCAGGTAGCTGCATGCTTGTCCCATTAATCATCCTTCCATCACTAGTGACATTCTGTGTGCTTCTGGGTGGATTTCCGGTTGGGCTGTTGTTAAACAACAATGGACAAGTGCTAGTCAAGAACCCGTTTCTGTGGCCTCTGTAGTAACACGCTTTAAATCTCTAAAGTTTTTTGCGTTTTACTGAGAGGTAAAGCTCTCGGTTGGCAATGTGATTGTCCTGACCAAAGGTAATATATTGTAGAAGTTTCAGATGCATTGGTATCAATGACTTGCTTGCTAAATGCTCTTGACAAAAACCATGGGGGTTTTACTGAAAATAAGATATTTTACCAGGAATTTCTTTTTTTTTGTGCCTTTGTTTAAATATGGACTTTGTTGAACATCTCCCTGCATGGCAAATGGTGCTTCCCATCATAGACGTTTTTCCACTGTGTGACCCCCATGTGCCCCCCAGGTTTTATGTTTATCCAACAAAGATTATCAGAAAAAAAAATATGCAGCCTAACTTTGAGCAACCATGTTAATTGGGACTGACAGCTGTGTGGTTTTGAAAATATGGCTAATTGGTAACGTCCAGACACGATCTGTTCATGTGTGTTGTTTTAAATTGAAATAAATGTTGACAAATTGATTGCAGATGGATGCTCTCTGTAATATAATCACTCTGCTTGCTGGCTTAGATTTTGCTTAAAAACTGTTTTTGGTTTTAAGTGATTTGTTATTTAAATAAGTGCTTCAAATTGTTTTGCTGTTCTCTATTTTTAAGAAGTTTTTTTTTTATTTACAAAAAGCAACATACTACGTTACTCTAAATGTACTCTTATTATTAAATAAAATTCACTTTTATGATGGCTTACCCTTTTTGCTACAAGCACATTGGAACCATACAACTACTGGTTGCTATATGTATATAACAGGGATCCCACATTCTGTCCTCAACAGTCCAGACTCCATCAGGTTTTTTTGTTTAAATCATGGAACAGGGTGTTTCAGGGTGTTAAACCTAGGGGCGCACAATGGGAGCACAAAAACCTTTTTCACCCCTAAAACCCATAGCCTTTTGGGTTAATCTGAAATTGCAGGTGATAGTCATAACTTAGATAAGCAGTGCGTTTGTCCTTGTAGTATAGGCTAGAAATGATCATTTATCCATGTGTTCAACAGCATGGTGTTCAGTTGGAGAGATTGACACAAGTGAGGTGGTTTGTTTTATGCAGTAAATATGATTTTTTTAAATGCAGCTTCTTTGTCTTTTCAGAATATTACTTATATGATTGTTCAGACTTGAACTTTTGAGCAACCTACAGATTTACTTTTGTAGGCGATGTTTTGTTGTGGCCTGTGTTTATAACTTCTCTGTTGAAGTGACTCACTCTCCATGAGACCTGTTATAGATGGGATTTTTATTAGTATTCCTCACTTTAAGCAGCACGAGTAGATTAAAATGTTTTTATTTGCATATTTAAAGACCCATTTGATATGTGGACATCCTTCCAGTGCCTAACGAATAAAAAACATCCTCTATGTAATGAAGAAATGACAAAAAAGATTTATTCTGAAACTCACTGTTCTACTTTGAATTGGGATGCAATTTTGTTGATGTGAGTGTTTAAGAAGATTATAGGACTCGGCTTATGTATAATCATTCTGCGATATAAAAGAATGCCATCCTAATTCTGGGAATTAAGACCAGGGTGGGGGATGGTTTTTGTGAAGATGCCTTTAATTTTCTTTTTGCTATATATAGATTGAGCCCCGAGTTGGGATTTTGGTCTGTTCTTTCTTCCATCGTGATGTTCTGTGTTTTTTTTCCCCTCAAGAGGTCATGTTCCTTTTTCATTAAAAGAATCTTCAAAAAAATTTGAAACCACTACACTAGTTTCACTGTTGAGTCACCTGTGTCTGTCTGGACATGTCCCAGAGTTTCTGTGACGAAAGGCAGCATTTGGAATTGGATTGGCAATATACAGAGAGCAGCCACACCCTGACCCTCTTTCACATTCTCTGTGAGGGGAAGAGGGTGGAAAAGATAAGAGAACCTCAAAGGAAAGCCTCTGGTTTACAAAGGAATGTTCATGAAAAATGGATGATATACGAATTAATGTAAAGACAGTAGTTCTAATTATAAGCTTGTTTAAATCACAAAATAAGTAGTCCATATGGTACACGTCCAAATCTCAGCATTTGGCAGTTTTAACATTATTAAATAAAAATAAGATTGTAATGGCAAGGTTTATTTGTACTGTAATTTGCAAATCTTTAAAATCTTTAATAGTGTTTAACTGCTAGTACATTGTTTGAAGGGTTAAACCAGGTTGTTCTCAATTTCCTGTCAGACAATCTGTTTTTTTGGATCTTCTGATCATTAGTTGAAACTAAAGCCTTTTAAGCAAGGGATACTGGTGAATTATGTATTTATCAAAAATATTATGAAAATGTTTATGGAGGAAAGCAGAAACTGTAATGCTACACGTTAATATCCAATTTAGAAATTGTCAGTTTGGCATGATTGAACCATTACTCAGGTATGAAATATGACTGAATTTTAGGGCCACTCCCTAGAATTCAGCCATTTCCTTTGCTGTACAGACCTGCATTTAACATTTATTTTTCGTTTCATTGTAATGGAAAACACTGGTCAAATACTGCTCTTTAAACCTGAAACTGGAGTGTGTCGTAAGACAAACTCCCCTTAATATACATACACCCTTTACCAGGTAACTATAGCTTAGACATAATCTCTTAAAGTGGTTACTGATTCAGCAGCAGTCTTGTAATGACTGTTTTTTCCTGCTACCATTTAAAATGAACTTGGCAGCAACTGGTGCTTTTAAAACACAGGCTTCAGCAAAAGTGGTTAAAGCATTCTTCATAACTAAACATCGAATGTTTTTCTGGACCAGGACCAGTGATAAAAACCTATTGAGGAGGCTGTGGTCTGGGCAGTGTTCACAGGGATGAAATTGAAGTAGGTTCATGTAATTGTATTCTGCCTTCGTAAGAAATAATGGAGCCATTATTTTCTGTGGAACCGGCAGCCTTTACTTACATTTACTGCAGTATTACATCTTCTGTCATGAGCAATGTTACTAGCAACACACTGAGGTGACCATAAGAAGGGATTCTTTTTTTAAGCAAAGGCAACACATTGTGAAATGAGAAGGGAGGAGAGAGTACTAAATTTAATTTCAAAATAGAAATAAATAAAAGATTTATAACAAGTGCCACTAAGCCTCTTAAGCAAACTAGAAGTCAAACTTCAGAAACCCAACTTTGGATGGCTGCAGCGTTGCTGTAGCTGTCATGTATAGAAGTAGAGGGATGAAGAAATACAGTACCTGTTTAATTAAAATCTTCAATAGTGAATGCAATTGACATTCTCCAGAAATCGTTACCGGTATCACTGTTCACTGTTTGTATCTGAGTACGTTTAATGAATTTGCATTTAATGAAGGGGGAATGTGGGATTTGTCCACACCCTTCATCCTTCAAAACAGAAATCCCTGCCAGAAGTTCAGCTTTTGTATCTGTTCCAACACCAGATAAACAGACACCTAAGCCCCTCTGTTTGCAAGGTGAATCTGCGATCTTTTCCAAGGCAGTATGTAAATAAGCTTTAATCAGTAGTATACAGGAGAATACTCAGGGAAGGCAATTCTGGAAGGCACTACCTGTGGAATGATGTGATCAGTGCAGTCAGCGAGATGAGATGATTAATAGCAGTATGAGGAGCGAAGATTGTTTGCTACAGAATAAGCTCTAATCTCCCAGGCTGCTGAAAAGGCTTTACTTTGCTGTTAGTCTCAATTGCCTGAAGCAGGTTGTCGTGCCATTAGCACACTGTACTAATGATAACGGAGCGGTTTTAGTGATTGAGCGAAATCCGCTGGAGGAAGGAGTGAGGAGGATCTTTCAGCAGCTCATGGGTTTCCACAGTCAGCTCGTGTGCTTAGGCGAGGCAGGATCTCCATGTTCCTGGTACTGGTCTCAGAGGAGTCCTCCCTTTTCAAGTGAGGCAAGGAACAGGTTTAACATACTGTACATCTTCATGTCTCTCTTAAAACAGAGAGAGAGAGTCAAGACTAGGCCAGACAAAAATAGTAATTTTCTGGATAGTTAAAGAACCAAAAGTCATTTGGTTTTAGTTTAAAATGTTGACGAAAGAAAGACTGATATTGATAGAGAGGTACAAGCAGCGCCCATTACAGAAGCCTTGGTTCATATTTTTCTCTTTTTATGAGGCTTTGTGTTGTTCTATGCTTGTTTTTCTTTAGTTGTGAGATCATTAATTTTACCCTCTATAAAAATTACTGGTGAATTCTCTGGCAACATAGTTCATTCATGGGTGTCACAAAATATGTAACGTTCACAAAGATTAAAAAATGAAAAAGTAATTGGTGATCACCAAAATGAACTACAGCTGAAATTCTGCATTCCAAACGAAATCCGTGTTTATAAAGCAAGTGATAATTATATATTGGCAAATAAACACTAAGGATTTGAAGTGTTACGTTTTTATTAATGTTTTTAGTTTTCAAGTTTAAACATTCTTAATGTTTATATTCTTTAGAAAGACCTCTTTCTTTACAATGCTGTTTAAAACCTGAATGCACACTACAATTCTTCTTTTTCCTCTTTTTTTTCCCCAGTGTTTAAGAACGTTAGTCGGGCATACGGGTGGTGTCTGGTCATCTCAAATGAGGGACAACATTATCATTAGTGGTTCAACAGACCGGACTCTCAAAGTATGGAATGCAGAGACCGGGGAATGTATTCACACGCTGTATGGCCATACGTCTACTGTCCGCTGCATGCACCTTCATGAAAAAAGGTACACCCTTCAGTTATATATTCCTCCCTATTATTGTGTTTTTTAATGGGTAAAGATTTTTTTTAAACGTTTTTGTTCAGAGGGGCAATGTTAATAGGTAGCTAAAAAACTATTCTAGGATTATAGAACAAAATTCTTTTCCGGAATGTTTTCTTAGCTCAATAGAGAATGCATTCTGCTCTGGAATACCAGTCTAAAGAAAAGCTATTGTTCATGTGCATACAGCAGCAGTGCTGTTTCTGCCCCCAGACATTTCACTTTTGTTCTAATATTTAATGACACAGAAAGAGGACAAGGAGGCAAACACATCCTCGCTCCATAACAATGTAATATCCATTCTTGTTTTGCTGGAAGGCATTCTGCAAATTAAGAGAGGACTTCATTATACATATAGTATTTAAACATTTAGCCAGAAGGCAGGTGGGAGAGTATCATTTGTAAAAAGGTTATACAGTATGTTCAGGTAAGAGAGCAGCTAACACTAATTACTCTTGATGTAAAATGGAAAGCAATACATGTTTTTTTTTTATTCTTTGATTAATTCCTTTTTTGCAAATAAACACCTTTTGTTAATGAAGCTGCACTGATTCTATTGTGGGATGCCTGGGCTCAAAGCAGCAGTCCCTGACCGCGTCTCTGTCTGGGCAGGGTGGTGAGTGGCTCTCGGGACGCCACGCTGCGCGTGTGGGACATTGAGACGGGCCAGTGTTTACACGTCCTCATGGGCCACGTGGCGGCAGTGCGCTGTGTTCAGTACGACGGCAGGAGAGTGGTGAGCGGAGCCTACGACTTCATGGTGAAAGTGTGGGACCCCGAGACGGAAACCTGCCTGCACACACTTCAGGGACACACCAACAGGGTCTACTCTTTACAGGTAGGCAGCGCAGATTGTCTCCCTCTGTCCTCCCTGCTGAATATACAGTACACCCCTATACATACCTACACAGTATACCTGTATACACCTATACCCCTGTACGGTGTACCCCTATACGGTGTACCCCTATACGGTGTACCCCTATATGGTATGCCCCTATATAGTAAACACCTATACACCCTAGAGCAGCACTCCCCGGCCAGGATTTTACATGAAGCAGAAGCACTTCACTGATCCCCTTCTCTGCCTACACACAGTAACATTGACCGGAACTTGCTAGAGCTTCTTAAACATGAAGTACAAATTTCTGATCTGCCATTGAGCTGCAGTGAATGTAGCTAAACGGTGTATCTGCTAACAAATCAAGACTTTTTAACAAAATTGGCATTATTTCTATAGTAAGAAGATTCGTTTTTGAATTAGGCCCCTGCTGTTGTTAAAATCTACATTTCCTTTTTAAAACATTTGGAATGCTTCTAATGCTGCAGACATTCTCTCTCTTGCAAACCCAGCAATGTTTTTGCACTTGTAACTGCCAATGTTCGTGACTCTGCAGGAGGAAGCAAGAATAATAACAAATTGATCTATAAATGGTAAAGATCTGTACATCTTCAAAATGTCTGAATAGAGATAAACTCCCAGAATAACAGCCTACTTTTCTCATGCAGATTCACAGTCATATTTTGTTAAACCAACTGAAGAAACCTCTCCTAGCAGAACTAGCATCATTATTGGAGTAAAGTCTTGATTCCTTTTTACTGTAATACAAAGGTGATAAACTTTTGCAATAGTGCAGTATAGTACACAAACCAGCATTAAACAGAAAAGTGTCTTTTGTGGGCTGTAAGCAGTAGAATCCGGTTTTCTTTCAGGGTATCCTGGAGGTATATCTCAGTACTATTCTAATTTAAGTACAAAATATTTATTTTACAATGTAATATATCATTGGCACAGAGACATTTGCAGAGCTGTTAAGCTTTGTTGTTTGCTTATATACTGTCGTATCCCTTTCAGTTTGATGGTATCCATGTAGTCAGTGGTTCTCTCGACACCTCAATCCGTGTTTGGGATGTGGAGACAGGGAACTGCATTCATACGTTAACGGGACATCAGTCATTAACGAGTGGGATGGAACTCAAAGACAACATACTGGTCTCTGGCAATGCTGACTCGACTGTCAAAATCTGGGACATCAAAACAGGACAGTGTTTGCAGACATTGCAAGGTGAGCTTTACAGGTTTACTGCACTTCAATAAGCATCCAGTGAGCTTCCTATGTAAGATAAAAACGTTACTACACAGTACCACACCAAAGGAATGCTTTTTATAGTATTTTTCATTGACTGCATGCATGTTTTACAGAAATAAAATGTCAAAGCAAAACAGTTTCTTTTAGAAAATGTTGCTTTTTCTGAATGAAATCATAGCATTGTAGTTTCACTGTTCAAAACCTCATTTGGAAACAAAAAAAAATGCTAGATGCTTTTAGATGCATAATTTGGTAGGTAAGGATTTTTACTGAAAATGAATGTTTATATCCTGGACATTAGAAAATAAAATAATACAGTGTTCCCCATATTATTTTACTATTGTTTTTATTTAGAGAAATTATCATTTTTGCAAAGCCACATGACCTACTTGCACTGAGCAGGTGTAATTATTTATTCCGCACTGTTCTTTTCTGTAATGAAATGGGTGTGGAATTGTCATGAAAGTCTATTAATTACATCCCCTGCAATGCACTGTTGGCGTTACCTTGAGCAGTAGGTGCTTCAGTTTGTTCACCATTTGAAAGAAAGTATTTTATAATGTTTGCAGTTACAGGGGTAATAATGACTGCAAAAGCCAAAAAGTTATTGAAACAGTTTGTAATGCCCTGAGACAGGACAGCTTTGCTGGTATGCTTTGAGCAGCAATGGAAGAAATAAGGAACTTGAAGTAAAGGAGGCAAGCTACCGTAAGAATACCAGTGGTTTTGAGAATATCTGAAAAGCTGAAGAATACATTTAAAACCTCCTTCCAAGTTTTAATGGGAATAATACTGTTCATGTGCTGCTCTAACAGCATGATGGAAATACAAAAATGATCATTTGCAAGAGAATGCATCACATTAAATACAGCGATAATGGAATGGCTGAAACCTGGAGGGATATTATGCAGAAGGGTGCTAATATCTGAAAGCAGTTACACTGTGCACATTTCAGGGACGTAAACAATAAACATGACTAACATTAAGGCTTTTTTAATGGGCTCATACTATTAATACTGCACTTTGTCATCTGTGGAGCAAAGATGTGTCTCAGTGCACATTTCGGAGAGCAGGTCTGAGGAACAGGATTGTAAGTGGGTGAAGGGGGTAGGGAGACTCCCCCGAGGTCAGCTAGATTGCTAGAGGTCAGTTAACTAATTGGGTCAGTAGGCAATCACAGCTGTTCATTAACAGAAATCAAGGAAACATGGTGACAGACACTCGGGTGCATTTTAAATGGGGAGAAATGGAACAAGAACTGACTAGAGCTAGTCATGCTAGTCATACTGAGAGCAAACAAAAGGCCAGAGATGCCTGCTATGAGATTGGGGGACTACAGCTGAGAACGTTAAGCAGGTCTCTTCATTTGAATTAAAAATGATGAAAATAAACAGCAGAGGAGCACAGTGGGTTAGAAAAGTATTTAAATAACATAATTTTCAAATGCAGAAATATACAATGCTTAAATTTTTAATCCACAATAAGTGATTTTTCACTTTGAAGTGGAAATTGTGCTTTGTTTTGGATTAACTTGCTTACATGTATGCAAAGTAGTTTTGTGTCTCTGTGAAGCGAGTGTTTAAAGTATAATGAATAGCGTAGTGTGCTAATTAATAAAAAAGAAATGGTCTTTAGAAAGACCACTTGAAGAATAACAAAGACTTAACCTGCGTGTCACTTCAGTGGTAGTGCCTGCGATTTCATGCTGAGGAACATTGCTCAACCTGTTTAAAAGGTTATTAATTTGCAAGTCTTCTGTCATGTTGAAGACTTAATTATACTTAAAGAACTGCCTTGCTGGCATATTTAATTCGAAAACTATTTAAAACCATATCTGTTCTCTTCTTTCTGAGCAAAAAGCCATACGTCATTTGTTTGGCCCCTGCTTTTAGTGTCGTTGGTTTAAGATACATTAGCTCATTTTTCTAAATAGTCGTCATTTAAGGAATGTGAAATCTTAATGAAGCATTACTTCTTGCATAGTGCAGTATTCCAGCCTCAATACGTTTAGATAAGAGGTAATGGAAAAAATGCAGCATAGAACATATTCTTGCCTTGTAAATATCTATGTATATTTAGGTAAGAATACCAGTGTTCACTTTCTATACATTTTATTTCAAATTCTTAAACAGTTTTGATGTGGTACGTTTTGGTAAGGCTGTTTAATATCATCAAAGTGTGTCCTGTATACCCTTTTTTTCCAATGAAAACCATTTGATAACGTCAAAATTATTAAAAAGCTTTTTTTTTTAAGCTTAGGCTTGAATTCCTATGGGTATGCAAAGTGAAGAAATAAAGGGTAGCCTTGTGAAATGTAACCTGGGACAGCCCATGTGCACGTGAGCCCTTCATGAGCAAGGCTTTGGAGAGCACAGCCAGCTCTGGGCAGCCACTCCACACACAGGAGGAGCATGAGGCTGCCAGGCACTGAACGGTCTTACTAACAACATTGTCACGCATGTTCTGGGACCAAGTCCTGCTTCTATCACAGAAGATTAGTCACAGGTGAAAAACCCTGCATGATAACCATGCAGTGACAAACCTGTTCAACCCACTGAGTTTAATCCATTTTGCATTCCCTCAAGCTGTAATGATTTTGAATACAGCTAGGGCAAGAAGGGGACAATTTGTTGGAGAATAGTTTAAATGGGAGAAGAAAAAAAAAAGGTTCTGTATCAAATAAAATGAATGTAGAGCTTAACATCTTCTCTTCACGGCCGCCTCATACATTTCATTGCCTTCAAATGTATTGCAAACGTGGTTTTGATCATTTTTCCCCTCTCTCTCTTCCCAGGTCCTCATAAACACCAGAGCGCCGTGACTTGCCTACAGTTTAACAAGAACTTTGTAATAACCAGCTCGGACGATGGGACTGTGAAACTGTGGGACCTGAAGACGGGCGAATTCATCCGCAACCTGGTGACACTGGAGAGCGGAGGCAGCGGCGGTGTGGTGTGGCGCATCCGGGCCTCCAACACCAAGCTGGTGTGTGCGGTGGGCAGCCGGAACGGCACAGAGGAGACCAAGCTGCTGGTTCTGGACTTCGACGTGGATATGAAATGAAGGAGGAAGAGCAAGACAAGGTTTCAACGCGTCTGAACATGTTACGTCAAAACACTTCACCCCTCCTTCCACCATCACCGCCACTCCAGTTCTGACCTTAGACACCCCCACCCTTGAGCTGCTGGTGGAAACCAAGCCTGGTTCGGGGCAGTGAGAAGCACCGGTGTAGACTGCTGGGAAGGGGAGAAGAACGCTAACTGACAGAAGGCAAACATGCTATCATAGCGCATGAGTGACCTCCCTTTTTGGCTCGGGGCAGCTCAGCACAGACAGACTTGGTCACTCAAGCCTGATGCAACCGTTAACATGTATAAATATATATGTATAGTTTCTTTTTTTTTTTCCACATAAACAGCCAACTGATTTATGGAGTCACCGCTGTGTACATAAGTCAAAAGGAAAGAGAAGTTGTCTTGTAAGAAATGTTAAATAGTGTAAAGAAAAAGCATAAAATCTAAAAAAAAGAGCTTCTTATCGGGGGAAAAAGTTTAAGCCAAGAACTGATCGACTTTCAAACCAGGAGGCACTTGCCTCAGTTCTGTACCATTTCTGTTGCTGTTGTTTTTCCGTCTGTTGTTTCCTGGTTTGAATACTACAAAAAAAGCAAACGTACTGTGAATTTTAGTTATTTTGTACATGTGATCAATTCAACAAGACTTTTGCCTAATGTTGCCAACAACAATCAGTCACAGTATTAACCTCCGTTTCTCTCTCTTTTGCTCTCTTTGTCTCTCCACTTTTTGTTGTGTTCTTTTTTAAAGCTGAATCTGGGTTTATTGCTCTGGAAAGGCAAGCTGTCCTGAGTTTTCAAGAAGTCCGGCTGGTTTAGTTCCTCAATGCTGGTGCTATGTGGGGGGAGGGGTCTCTGTGAGCTAATGGGAATAGCGTCCCATCCCTGTACTGTATTCCCAGTGGCCAAACTATATTTATGCTGCTAAAAGAAAAGAAAGGTGGAACTTTTATTGCTGCGACGTTTTAGTCCCAGACTAAATTCCAAATTTACTCTAGTTTGGACTTTTTAAAAGAGAAACATGAAAAACAACCTAATTTTTTTTTTTGCCACTGAAACTTGAGCCAAATGTGCCTCTAAGAGGCTGAGTGTAGGAAAGTGTTGGACAGACAAAGATGGGTTTGCCTGCGAGGAAGAAACAAAAATGGTTGAGCAGATTTTTCGTGTGCGTGTGTTTCTGGGCAAATTGTAAACACATTCCTTAGGACAAAGCTCTTTTCAGCCTGTTCTGTGGGGAACGTATATGTTTTGAGGACTGTGGTGAAATGGAATGAACATATAGAATATACACATTTGAATATATATGTATATATGTGTGTATATATACATATATTACAAATTATAAACTGACAAAAAATAAGAAGACGAAAATTGCATATAAGTGCGAGTCAGTCTTAGTGTTGAGACTTTAACATTAGTTTTTTGCCGTGAACTGACTTGGCTAAACAGTTACAGTTTGTGAATGGAAAAGCACCACAGGCAAAAATAAGTAAAGTAGCCAAAAGATTTGCCTCATTCTCCAAGAGCCACACAACTCAAGCTGAACTGTGAAAGTGGTATAACACTGTATATTAAACAATCTTGTTCTTTCTCTTCTCTCTCTTATTTTTTCCTGTTAATTTATAGTCTGGTTTGAGAAATCAGATGTTGCAGGTGTTTTTATTTTTCAGTTCATGTAACTGCCTGACGTAACAGACTGAAAAACCTTAAAGGGATTGTGTCTATCGTTTGATTCACTTAGAATTTTTATTTTCTTATAACTTAAGTGCAATAAAATGTGGGTTTTTTTTTCATTTCAAGCATTTCTGTTGTCCTTGCGTTTGTCAGAGTGTGTCTAGCTGCAAAATGTTGCAGTAAAGCATCTGCTCGAGTCCTTAGCAATTTGTAGCAAGCTTGTCTTCTTATTCAGTATCTTAACCCTGACTTACACATTGTCCTGACTATACTGAAATAGAGGTCTTCTCTGTTTTTGTATTGCTGCTAGTCTCTGGGGTACACCTCGAAACACTTCTTCACTCAGTTTGTTTTGGGTGTGCACATTGGCCCTTGGATGGCTCAATGTGCAAGGTGTAGCGGGGCTAGTTTGGGTGCGTTACGCCGGAGACCCGGGTTCGCGCCCAGGTGTTGCAGGATGAATCGGCGGGGTGGAGTGGCAGAGAGTCACAAAAGCAGGCTGGGTCGTGTGATGACCAGTTTATGCCTTGGCCATGTCACTAGCCAACAAGGACCAGAATTCTCCAGGGTGGTGGTGCCCCTAAGGGTAGGATGGGAATAGTTGGCCCTCCATTAATTCAGAGAACAAGTGATACCCTTCAGGTTCCAGGGCACTTGCAGTTACACCATGGTGTGGTGCAGTCAGCAAATTTGCGTTGGACTTTTCATCCAGTCGGCTGAACGTCCTGCAGGGCATTGCATACCCTGTGAACTTTCGCTCACATCGTGAAAGACAACCAGCTTTCAGGTGGGTCGGAGGAATCACCCTTCACTTCCCTACTCCTCATTCTCCTTCATGTGCAGTTGTGTGTACAGTTTGTGTCAAGTATTCACCCCCTTGGACTTTTTATGTTTTGTGTTACAATATGGAATCATAATGTATTAACTGGGAGTTTTTGCCATTGACTGATAGAAAACACTCACACAAACAAAATCTACAGATCCTCATAAATTAATAATAAATATAAAACAGAAAATAACTGATTGCATAAGTATTCACCCCCCTTAGTCAAAATTTGGTGGAGGCAAGTTTTGCAGAAATTACGGGTCATGATAAGGTTCTACCAGCTTTTCACATTTGGACACTGAACTTTTTGCCCATTCTTCTTTGCAAAAGTGCTCAGTTGCTGTTTGCAAATTTCCTCAGGTTGGCTGGGAAAAATTGGTGAACAACAATTTTCAACTCCTGCCACAGATTCTTGATTGGATTGAGGCATGGGCTTTGACTTGGACACTCCAGAACATTGACTTGTTTTTCTTTTTAAATAACTCCAGTGTGGCTTTGGCTGTATGTTTTGGGTTATTGTCCTACTGGAAGATGAATCTTGTCCCAAGTCCCGGGTCTCTTGCAGACTCCAGCAGGTTTTCCTCTAGGATTTTCTCTGCTCTGTATGCTGAATCAGTTTTTCTTTCTTTGCAAGTCTTCCAGGCCCTGATGCAGTGAACCACAGCATGATACTGTCATGCCATATTCACGGTAGGGGTGGTGTACTCAGGATGATGTTGGGGGGAAAACATAACATAATGCATACTATTGAAGTCAAAAGGGTCAATTTTGGACTTGTCAGACAATAGTCTTCTTCCACTTGGTCTCGGAGTCTCCCAGAGGCCTTCTGGCAAAATGTAGTTGAGATTTGATTTTTGTGTCACTCTTCCATGAAGCCCAAATTTGTGAAGCATTCAGACAATTGTCATATGCACAGTTTCTCCCATCTCAGCCATGAACACTGTAATTCCTTTAGAGTTGTCACAGGCTTCTCGGTGGCATCCCTGACTGCTCTTCTCATCTGAATACTTTTTTTTTTCTCACCTGAAAAGTTCTTGAGGACAACATGTTCTTCACACTTTCACAATTGTGCCATATTGTTGTACATTTCTTTGTAATGAGCCTTACTGTGTTTTGTGCTTTGTAATGCCTTGGGAATTTTCTTATACCCTTCCCCTGATTGGTGTTGTTTTAATAACCCTATCCCAGGTGTACTTTGAAAGATTCTTTGTCTTCATGATGCAGTTTTTGTTGGGAGCTGTACTAATCAACTTTGAAACCTCCCAGAGATCGGACAGTATCTTGACCTCATCTGAAACACTAAATGCACACAGGTGGACTCCATTCAACAGATTGTGACTTTTAAAGATATTTGGTTGCACCAGAGCCTATTTACAGTAGGTGTGTCTTATTAAAGGGGGAATATGAATACATATGCAATCACTTGTTTTATATTTCTAATTAATTTAGGAAGATCTATAGAATTTTGTTCTTACTTTGACATTATAGAGTGTTTTGTTACACTCTTTGTTGCATAAAATCCCAAATGAATGCATTTTGATTCTGTATTGTAACAGTTAATGTGAAAAAGGTGGTGAATACTTTTGATAGCCACTATATTTATCCTACCTGTGGTATCAGCATTCCTTATATAAACAATGATAATGTTTTAATCTTTGATACAAAATTGAAGGAAGGCCATTTTAAAATATACTGATTATTTCATGCTAGAAGTGGAAAAAGGCTGTTGAAGATCAAACTGTTGCTTAGTGATCTTTACTTTGTATAGTAAACAAGTGACCCATTAACGAAACAAGCAGGAATTTTTTCATTAAATCCAAATCCTCAACAGGTATTAGGTTATCTCTTTAGTGTTTACAGCGTCAGCATTGGAATTGTTTTTTCCCTCTTGATAAAACATATCCAACTGTTCTGTTGTTGGAATGTGTCCACTGCTTTCAAAACAGTAATTTTTCCCTACTAAATGTCAATTTCTTAAAACATTCTACAATATGCTATATAAACAGATTCTTGAGCTTTCTAAGAGTATATCCTGGAGCATAACATTTTGAATTGCCGAAGAGCTTCAACAATATAATTCTGCATTCCACTCTAAGAAGCACTGACACAACAAAGTATGGTTCCTCACTGCTGTTCACAGACTTCTGTGAGACATTTAAAGTAGAGCTCCAAAAGCTCCAGACCCATAGAAGATAGTATTGATATTTTATTATGATTTTCCGTATTGATATGAAACTAAAGAATAGAATGAGAAACAAGATGGGAGTATTTGGTAGGAGTGTTCTGTGGGTTTAGTGTTTTTTAATTTTTTTAATTTGTGTAAGGTAACTTGCATTTGGTTTTGTGTTCTGATTTGATTTAGAATGAATTCCATTTTTATCCGGTCTCTAGGTTTTTTGGCTCTAGAACAAGACAAAATAGTACATCTGTCCCCTTACTGTGTTCTGTGCCTTCAAAAACTGTTTTTTGAGTGATGTTGTGCCATTTGCAGTAACACAATGTTGTACATCCACTTTGAGCTTTGAAGTCACTTACTGCTTTGTAAATAACATGCTATCCCAATCCAAGCTTTAAAAATCCATGTTCAACTTGTACAGCATCCAAAGTGCATTACTGTGTGTTCATATTTGCCACATTCCATTGTGAAGGCTTTTTAAAAATCCTTAGAATGACAAAGCAGGCTATATATACAGGTTTTTATCATTTTTTAAATCCGTTTGCAAAGCATTTTACCAGGTTTACATTAGGGATTGTAAAAATTATCTTAAACGAGTAGTGTTTTTTTTATTATTAACAGTATTGTACTTGTTGGGTAGACTGGATAGCAGAAGACTCCTCTGAATCTTTCCTCTAGTGCTGTGTGTTTTGAAACATTCCACCTTGACCAGCAGAGTTTGAGAGGAGAAGGAAATAGGAGGACATGTAGGAGTCAGGCCTTTTAACTGGAGATTTGGCTGCCGGGCTTCAGAACAAACGACCAGACCTGCAATAATCATGGTACAGCTGACCAATTTTAAAAGCCAGAGCTTACCTTGCCTACTCAGTACAGCCATGAGGATTGTAAGTAATAGTGAAGAGTGCCTGACAGAGTGAACAATGCTCTAGAAATGGCTGCCCCTGGGGAGTGAATTAGTGAGATAGCTGCTGCCCATCCATTTTAAAGATTGTAGCCTTGAAACATCGTGTGCCCAAATATATATTTTTTAAAAGTCAATGTCAAATTGTACAAAATAGGAATTACATTAATATGTTTATTACAGTCATTTGATGTGTTTTTTTTAAATGCACATTATTCACTGTCAGTAAGGTAATTCAGTTTGAATTACTTTGAATTTGGTTCTTAGATGGGTAACAAGCCTTTTGATTTCTCTCCTTTACCAATGTGCAGTACTATTACTCAGAAACACTTGTTCGTTTCACACTAGCAGGCCATAGCCACTTAATGAGTTGTCATACAGATAAATAGCTATCCTGTTTGGAAATCCTGCTGACGGGACATAGCTGTGTCCTGACACTTAATGTCTATTTTCTGTCTCTCCTCCTTTGCTAAAAAATATATTAATGTAGTCACCGACTGTACAGCCTGTTATGCTGTTGCAAGTTCAAAGCAGTTTACATTGTTTCAGACAAACATGTCAGAATCTGAAAACAAACATCAGTCTAATATAAATGTTGCAGTTCTTTTTAAAGTATTATAACAATAAAATGATTGTGCTACATGCCTAAAACCAAAAAAAAAAACTATTACTCCAGAAAAAAACATGAGCATACATTAGCTTTTCTTTTCAATAGACTTTCACAGTTAGTGTCTTCCATAATCATTTCTCAATACAAATTGGAAAAAGTCATGAGTAGGATTGGTTTACATTTTTAAATCCATGTGTGGTACATTCCCCAACGTATAATTGATTTTTTTAGTTGCATCTGTACATGTATTATTGCCTACCCCATGAGCCTCAACAGCGAGTTACATTACATCAGCACAGCTTTACTGAAATGGCAAGTGCTGTACTTAAAAAATAACTGTGCGCTTCTTGATTTTAGTTTATCTTTTACTTTTTCGACAAAGTTACGGGGGTTACAATTAATGAGATATGACTCATGTACTGAACCTACGATGCTGTGAGACCTTATCCTCTAAGAAATATATCATTGTAGCCTTCCTGTTTCACAATTTCTTAATCTGACAGTGAATTTCATGTAAATCAGGTGAGTCATTAGAGCTCTCCTCCTCAGAGTTGATTGCACTACAGTTGTACACATACATTTAATTCTTAATTTCAAAAGAATTGTCTTCGAAAT